TCCTTGGTCTTCATGGTGCCGCTTGCTTGGTGGTGCCCCTTGCTTAGTGGTGTTGCAGACTCTGGGGCCTTTCAGAACAGGTGTATATATACTGAGATCATGTGACAGATCATGTGACACTTAGATTGCATTACATTTACATTTACATCATTTAGCAGACGCTCTTATTCAGAGCGACTTACAAATTGGACACAGGTGGACTTTATTTAACTAATTATGTGACTTCTGAAGGTAATTGGTTGCACCAGATCTTATTTAGGGGCTTCATAGCAAAGGGGGTGAATACATATGCACGCACCACTTTTTTTCATTTCACTTCACCAATTTGGACTATTTTGTGTATGTCCATTACATGAAATCTAAATACAAGTCCATTTAAATTACAGGTTGTAATGCAACCAAATAGGAAAAACGCCAAGGGGGATGAATACTTTTGCAAGGCACTGTATTGGATTTTCCACAAACATATCATTTTCTATTCAGAACAAAATGTCAATTGCTTTGCAGTATGACTTTAGTACCTTGTTGCAAACAGGATGCATGTTTTGGAATATTTTTATTGTGTACAGGCTTCCTTCTTTTCACTCGGTCAATTAGGTTAGTATTGTGGAGTAACTACAATGTTGTTGATCCATCCTCAGTTTTCTCGTATTACAGCCATTAAACTCTGTAACTGTTTTAAAGTCACCATTTGCCACATGGCGAAATTCCTGAGCGGTTTCCTTCCTCTCCGGCAACTGAGTTAGGAAAGACGCCTCTATCTTTGTAGTGACTTGGTGTATTGATACACCATCCAAAGTGTAATTCATAAAAGCAGACACTGAATATCCCTTTGAGCATCAAATGGATATTCAGTGTCAGCTTTTTTTTTTACCCATCTACCAATATGTGCTCTTCTTTACGAGTCATTGGAAAACCTCTCTGGTCTTTGTGGTTGAATTTGTGTTTGAAATTCAATGCTCTACTGAGGGACCTTACAGAGAATTGTATGTGTGGGGTACAGAGATGAGGTAGTCATTCAAAAATCATGTTAAACACTATTATTGTCCATGTAACTTATTATGTGACTTGTTAAGCACATTTTTACTCCTAAACCTATTTAGGCTTGCAATAACAAATGGGTTTAGTACTTATTGACTCAAGACATTTCAGCTTTTCACTTGTAATTAATTTGTAAAATCTTTGAAAAACATCAATCCACTTTGACATTATGGGGTATTGTGTGTAGTGACATCCCAATTTAATCCATTTTAAATTCAGGCTGTTACACAACAAAATGTGGAAAAAGGTCAAGGGGTATGAATACTTTCTGAAGGCACTGTATATCTTGTGAAACATTCAGGTTTCATGTCAGCACTTTTTTGTTTATTTCACGCAGACATTTGCACAAGCCTAGCTGATAGCAAATTATACAACTAGTATGACTTCATGCATTTTTTAAAATAACCTTTGGTATCACATGTAGGCCTAATTGTATGCTAATAATTGTGCTATTTGTGCTATGTTGTGTCTGGCAGCCACAGCCTGTGGATGTAAAATACACTGCTTACCCTTCAAGATTGGTTAGCGTTGCCGTTGAGGGAAAAATCTATAGCATGGCTGGTTGAACACAGAATTAGACCATTAGATTGCTAATTAACTACAAGCATCCTTCATTATCGACCCCACAGCAGCCAAGGCAGGCTATGAAGGCCCAAAGCAGTTAGGAATAAAAGTCAGCACACAAGAGGTTTCAGAGAGAGGCAGGGAACAGAACTCCCTGGGCCTGGTGCATCTTCAATTGAATTTCTCTCCTGATTTGCCCTGATAACTAACATCAGCCATGTAATTACCCAGAACCACCCTGCTTTGTATTGGTCTAGCTCAGAAGACCCTTGAAGTTTCTAGTGTAAGTGAGTGTGTATAGGTGTGTGTGTCTGTTTGAAGCTTCTGTGTGTTTACAGATGAGTCAGCGCATTGCCAAGCTCTCAGTCTCCTGGTTTGATAATTCCTACCACCCACTCCCATGGCTGAGTGGAGTTGTTGTTTTGGTTATACATTTCCCTTAAGTTGCACTAATGTGGGCAAAGGTTCCATGATTTACATTTTACATTTACGTCATTTAGCTGACGCTCTTTTCCAGAGCGACTTACAGTTAGTGCATACATTATTATTTTCATACTGGCCCCCCGTGGGAAACGAACCCACAACCCTGGCGTTGCAAACGCCATGCTCTATCAACTGAGCTACCTCCCTGCCTGCCATTCCCTCCCCTACCCTGGACGACGCTGGGCCAATTGTGCGCCGCCCCATTGGTCTCCCGGTTGCGGCCGGCTACAGCAGAGCCTGGATGATGGCCATTATATTGACTTAGCGGGACACAGTGTTTTGTATGTGTGCCTCTCCTTGGCTTTGTTGAATTTTGAGTAGGCCTGAATTCGTACTGCAGCTCTATTGCAAAATCTACCTCAAATCAAATCAAATTGTATTCGTCACATGTGCCGAATACAACAGGTGTAGACCTTACCGTGAAATGCTTACTTATAAGCCCTTTACCAACAATGTTGTTTCAAGAAAAATAAGAGTTTAGAAAATATTTACTAATTAAACTAAAGTTTAAAAAAAGTAACACAATAAATTAACAATAACGAGGCTACAGTGGGGAAAAAAAGTATTTAGTCAGCCACCAATTGTGCAAGTTCTCCCACTTAAAAAGATGAGAGAGGCCTGTAATTTTCATCATAGGTACATGTCAACTATGACAGACAAATTGAGGAAAAAAAATCCAGAAAATCACATTGTAGGATTTTTAATGAATTTATTTGCAAATTATGGTGGAAAATAAGTATTTGGTCACCTACAAACAAGCAAGATTTCTGGCTCTCACAGACCTGTAACTTCTTCTTTAAGAGGCTCCTCTGTCCTCCACTCGTTACCTGTATTAATGGCACCTGTTTGAACTTGTTATCAGTATAAAAGACACCTGTCCACAACCTCAAACAGTCACACTCCAAACTCCACTATGGCCAAGACCAAAGAGCTGTCAAAGGACACCAGAAACAAAATTGTAGACCTGCACCAGGCTGGGAAGACTGAATCTGCAATAGGTAAGCAGCTTGGTTTGAATAAATCAACTGTGGGAGCAATTATTAGGAAATGGAAGACATACAAGACCACTGATAATCTCCCTCGATCTGGGGCTCCACGCAAGATCTCACCCCGTGGGGTCAAAATGATCACAAGAACGGTGAGCAAAAATCCCAGAACCACACGGGGGGACCTAGTGAATGACCTGCAGAGAGCTGGGACCAAAGTAACAAAGCCTACCATCAGTAACACACTACGCCGCCAGGGACTCAAATCCTGCAGTGCCAGACGTGTCCCCCTGCTTAAGCCAGTACATGTCCAGGCCCGTCTGAAGTTTGCTAGAGTGCATTTGGATGATCCAGAAGAGGATTGGGAGAATGTCAGATGAAACCAAAATATAACTTTTTGGTAAAAACTCAACTTGTCGTGTTTGGAGGACAAAGAATGCTGAGTTGCATCCAAAGAACACCATACCTACTGTGAAGCATGGGGGAGGAAACATCATGCTTTGGGGCTGTTTTTCTGCAAAGGGACCAGGACGACTGATCCGTGTAAAGGAAAGAATGAATGGGGCCATGTATCGTGAGATTTTGAGTGAAAACCTCCTTCCATCAGCAAGGGCATTGAAGATGAAACGTGGCTGGGTCTTTCAGCATGACAATGATCCCAAACACACCGCCCGGGCAATGAAGGAGTGGCTTCGTAAGAAGCATTTCAAGGTCCTGGAGTGGCCTAGCCAGTCTCCAGATCTCAACCCCATAGAAAATCTTTGGAGGGAGTTGAAAGTCTGTGTTGCCCAGCGACAGCCCCAAAACATCACTGCTCTAGAGGAGATCTGCATGGAGGAATGGGCCAAAATACCAGCAACAGTGTGTGAAAACCTTGTGAAGACTTACAGAAAACGTTTGACCCGTGTCATTGCCAACAAAGGGTATATAACAAAGTATTGAGAAACTTTTGTTATTGACCAAATACTTATTTTCCACCATAATTTGCAAATAAATTCATAAAAAATCCTACAATGTGACTTTCTGGATTTTTTTTTCTCATTTTGTCTGTCATAGTTGACGTGTACCTATGATGAAAATTACAGACCTCTCTCATCTTTTTAAGTGGGAGAACTTGCACAATTGGTGGCTGACTAAATACTTTTCCCCCCCACTGTATATACAGGAGGTACCGGTACCGAGTCAATGTGCGGGATACAGGTTAGTCGAGGTAATTGAGGTAATATGTACATGTAGGCAAGGGTAAAGTGACTATGCATAGATGATAAACAGCGAGTAGCAGCAGCGTAAAAAAAGGGGTGGTCAATGCAAATAGTCTGGGTAGCCATTTACCTGCTCGCATAAAAAGGAGGTGTGTTTGAACTAAACAAACACGTTGTTATTGCTGCAGGGTAAACTCCTAAAATGATTGTAGAGATATAGGGATTATATATTCTCTTCTTTAAGTTTTCTTTGTGATTTCAAACAATGGGTGAGTGGTCTTTGGATTATTTATAGAGGGGCTCAGCAGCAAGTAAACTCTCTCTCTCTCTCTCTCTCTCTCTCCTTATCTCTCTCTTTCCTTCCCCCTCTCAGTGATTTTAGATCTGAAGAACTGCTAGGATTGCTGAGCAAACTTTGCCTTGAGACTTTTGATCTAAAAGCTGGTTCTTTCTTTTCATTCAGGCAGGTAAACAGATAGAAAGAGTGGGGGCAAGGTCTACTGAAAGAAGAAGAAAAATTCAAGACAAAATCCCTCGGCAGTCTCCAAAGTCATGCCTCACACACGTCTCTGCATACAGGAGAAAGAACTGTGTATCTCAATGCATTGTGAGTGACTTTGGAGTGCCAATCAGGGAACTCCTGCTTTACTTTAAGGACACTTTCACAAATTGAAGGGATTCCTGACAACCCATTTCACTGGAGGACTGTTGAACAATAACCACAATGTACCAAGTGGTACCAGGAGGTGCAGGGAGCACAGTTACCAATGCTAAACCCATCAAGTAAAAACTGAATAGGGACGTTCAGCCCTTAGTTGTAGTAAGTGTCCTAGGCTTGGTGCTGTTGATTTCTGCAGTGACCGCATGGTGCTATTACATTGGTTCTCTGCGCAAGGCTGAACTGCTCAAGACAGAACTTCTGGACCTCAACAAGGATGGCTACATCATTCACAATCAGGCGGGGTCTATTGTCTTCAGGATGTCTTTCAGGTTTGTGATTCACTTCAGAATAGGACAGACTCAATCAGCATTCATTCACCAACAGTTACTATTAATCATTGTGAAAGTGTGTTGTTAGCTGCAAATTGGGAATTTCTTCTAGTATATACTGTCACGGAATCAGCCGAGGCTGCCCCTCCTCCTTGCTCGGGCAGGCTTCGGCGTTCGTCGTCCCCGGAGTACTAGCTGCCACCGATCTATGTTTCGGTGTTTGTCTAGTTTGTCCTGATTGTTTTCACCTGTTTCCCATTATGTTATATTGTAATGCCTTTATATCCCCCTGTCTCTCATTGGTTATTGTGTGTGATTGTTTTCCGTGAGGTCGGCAGTCTCGGGTGTATGCGTATTTTGTTTCCTTCCTGTTTGGAGGTTTGTTTGTATTTATATTTACTGTGCTAGTAAAGTTTGTCTGCCAGTAGCTCGGTGTCCTGCGCTTGACTTCGCTCACCGCATACACGTAGCCCTGACAGAATCACACACCATTCATGGAGTCAGCAGGAGCGGCGGTGCCAGCTGGATCAATGGAGGAACGCGTCGAACACCAAGCGGCCATGATCCAGGCTCTCGGCACCGCCATGGAACGGGTGGTGAGCACTATTGGGCGATGGGAAAGAGAGGGTCTGCCTACGCCTTCTCCAACGATACCACCACCATCGGCGATGCCCATCGCTTCACCTCCGGGGTCCAGTGGGATTCGGCTCTCGCTCCCGAGGGCTTATGATGGCACAGCGGCTGGGTGTCAGGGTTTCCTGCTCCTAGTTGAACTCTACCTAGCAACCATCCACCCGGTGCCCTCGGGATACGAGAGCGTGTCCGCCCTCATCTCCTGTCTGTCCGGCAAGGCGCTGGAGTGGGCCAATGCCGAGTGGGGGGGAATAGACGCCGCTACTGTCAACTATGCGGAGTTCACCCGCCGCTTCAGGGCAGTATTCGATCATCCACCAGAGGGTAGCGGCGGGTGAGCGTCTATTCCACCTTAGACAGGGGAGGAGGAGCGCACAGGAGTTCGTGCTGGACTTCCGGACGCTGGCTGCCAACGCGGGATGGAATGAGAGGGCCCTCATCGACCACTACAGATGTAGCCTGAGGGAGGACGTGCGTCGGGAATTGGCCTGCAGGGACACCAACCTCAGCTTCGACCAACTGGTGGACATGTCCATTCGTCTGGATACCCTGTTGGCTACCCGCGGACGTTCAGATTCAGGGCCGTCCATTCCATCCCCCAGCACTTCCGAGCCGACCCCTATGGAGCTCGGAGGTGCTGGTGCTAGGGAGACCAGGAGAGAGACCAGGAAGGAGGCCGTCCCCTGCACCAACTGTGGCCGCAGAGAACACACTGCTGGTCGGTGCTGGGGAGGGTCTCCTAGGAATCGAGGCGGTAGGCCGCGCACTGATGAGTCATTCCAGGTGAGTAGACACCCAGCTCACCCAGAGCTCTCTGTTGCGCATGTGTGTATTAAAGTTGTGTTTCCCAAGGTTTCTCCTCACTCAAAGCATAAGGCGCTAGTAGATTCAGGCGCAGCTGGGAATTTTATTGATCGCCAATTCACTTATAAGTTAGGGATTCCTATTGTACCTGTTGATGTGCCCTTCCCCATCCATGCCCTAGATAGCCGCCCTTTGGGGTCAGGATTGATTAGGGAAGTCACAGCGCCGCTCAGGATGAAAACGCAGGAGGGCCATGAGGAGATACTACGTTTGTATTTGATTGATTCTCCTGCGTTTCCCGTGGTGTTGTGGCTTCCCTGGTTAACATCTCATGACCCCAACATTTCATGGCAACAGAGGGCTCTCAAGGGATGGTCTGATCAGTGTTTCGGGCGGTGTGTAGGTGTTTCCGTAGGGGCAACGACGGTGGAAATCCCGAACCGATTTGGCACTCGCCTTCTGTAAAAAGAAATCGACTCAATTACCACCTCATCGACAGGGGGATTGTGTGATAGACCTCCAAGTAGGCGATGCGCTTCCACGTAGACATGTGTATCCTCTGTCTCAGGAGGAGACGGCGGCTATGGAGACATACGTCACCGAATCTCTGAGACAGGGATACATACGGCCGTCCACTTCCCCTGCGTCCTCGAGTTTCTTTTTTGTGAAAAAGAAGGATGGGGGTTTACGCCCGTGTATTGATTACCGTGGTCTCAATCAGATCACAATCAAATACAACTATCCTCTCCCTCTGATTGCTAATATGATGGAGTCATTACACGGGGCGCGATTCTTCACAAAATTGGATCTCAGGAGCGCGTACAACCTGGTGCGCATTAGGGGGGGGAGATGAGTGGAAGACAGCATTCAGTACCACCTCGGGTCACTATGAGTACCTCGTCATGCCATACGGGTTAATGAATGCTCCTTCAGTCTTCCAATCATTTGTGGACAAGATTTTCTGGGACTTGCATGGACAGGGTGTAGTGGTGTATATTGATGACATTCTAATATACTCCGTTACACGAGCCGAGCATGTGTCCCTGGTGCGTTGAGTGCTTGGTAGACTGTTAGAGCATGACCTGTATGCGAAGGCGGAGAAACGTCTGTTCTTCCAGGAGTCCATCTCCTTCCTGGGACATCGGTTGTCCGCGTCAGGGGTGGAGATGGAGATTGACCGCGTTTCTGCCGTACGTAATTGGCAGACTCTCACCACGGTGAAGGAAGTGCAGTGGTTCTTGGGTTTTGCCAATTACTACCAGAGGTTTATCCGGGGCTTTGGACAGGTAGCAGCTCCCATTACCTCCCTGCTAAAGAGGGGTCCGGTGCGTCTGCAGTGGTCGGCTGAGGCGGACAGGGCGTTTAGACATCTGAAGGACCTGTTTACCTCGGCTCCGGTGCTGGCACATCCGGATCCCTCTTTGGCGTTCCAAGTTGAGGTGGATGCGTCCGAGGCTGGGATCGGCGCTGTGCTGTCTCAGCGCTCGGGTACGCCAACAAAACTCCGCCCCTGTGCTTTCTATTCTAAGAAGCTCAGTCCGGCGGAGCGCAATTATGACGTGGGGGACAGGGAGCTGTTGGCTGTGGTTCAAGCCCTGAAGGTGTGGAGGCATTGGCTTGAGGGGGCTAAACACCCTTTTCTCATTCTGACTGACCATCGTAACCATCGTACATCCGGGCAGCGAGGAGGCTGAACCCTCGCCAGGCAAGGTGGTTTATGTTTCTCTCCCGATTTGTATTTAAGCTCACCTATAGACCAGGGTCACAGAACGCTAAGGCAGACGCCCTGTCCCGACTATATGACACAGAGGAGAGGTCCATTGTGCCCACTCCCATACTCCCGGAGTCTTGTCTGGTGGCACCGGTGGTGTGGGAGGTTGATGCGGACATCGAGCGGGCGTTACGTACCGATCCTACTCCCCCACAGTGTCCAGAGGGTCGGAGGTACGTGCCGCTCGAGGTTCGCGATCGATTGATATATTGGGCTCACATGTCACCCTCCTCTGGTCATCCTGGTATTGGTCAGACAGTGCACTGCCTTAGTGGGAAGTACTGGTGGCCCACTTTAGCTAAGGACGTGAGGGTTTATGTTTCCTCCTGCTCGGTGTGCGCCCAGTGTAAGGCGCCTAGAAACCTGCCCAGAGGGAAGTTACAACCCCTACCCGTTCCACAACGGCCGTGGTCTCACCTATCGGTGGATTTTGTCACGGACCATCCCCCCCTCCCAGGGGAACACGACGATCTTGGTCGTTGTGGATCGGTTTTCGAAGGCCTGCCGTCTCATTCCTATGCCAGGTCTCCCTACTGCCCTACAAACTGCTGATGCCCTGTTCACACACGTTTTCCGGCACTACGGGGTGCCTGAGGATATAGAGTCTGATCGGGGTCCCCAGTTCACCTCTAGAGTCTGGAGGGCGTTTATGGAACGTCTGGGGGTCTCGATTAGCCTTACCTCAGGTTTCCACCCCGAGAGTAACGGGCAGGTGGAGAGAGTGAACCAGGATGTGGGTAGGTTTCTGAGGTCCTATTGCCAGGACCGGCAGGAGGAGTGGTCAGTATATATTCCCTGGGCAGAGATAGCCCAAAACTCACTCCGCCACTCCTCCACTAACCTTACGCCTTTCCAGTGTGTGCTAGGTTATCAGCCGGTCCTGGCACCTTGGCATCAGAGCCAAATCAAAGCCCCCGCGGTGGACGAGTGGTTTCGGCGCTCGGAAGAAACCTGGAACGCTGCGCATGTCCATCTGCAGCGGGACTATCAGGCGGCAAAAGGCGAGCGCCGATCGCCACCGCAGTGAGGCTCTGGTGTATGCACCGGGAGATCGGGTCTGGCTCTCGACCCGAAACCTGCCCCTTCACCTGCCCTGCCGGAAGCTGGGTCGGCGGTTTGTGGGGCCATTTAAAGTCCTGAGGAGATTGAACGAGGTATGCTATAGGTTACAACTGCCCATTAATTACCGCATTAACCCCTCGTTCCATGTGTCTCTCCTCAGGCCGGTGGTGGCTGGTCCACTCCAGGAGAGTGAGATACGAGAGGCTCCTCCGCCCCCGTTGGACATCGAGGGGGTTCCGGCGTACTCAGTCCGTTCCATCTTGGATTCGAGGTGTCGGATGGAGTGGAGTGGGAGGGGTACGGTCCGGAGGAACGGTGCTGGGTCCCTAGATCCCTCCATGTTGAGGGACTTCCACCGGAGTCATCCGACTTGCCCTGCTCCGCGTCCTCCTGGCCGTCCCCGTGGCTGGGGTCGGCACACGGCTGGAGCCGCGCGTCAAGGGGGGGGGGGTACTGTCACGGAATCAGCCGAGGCTGCCCCTCCTCCTTGCTCGGGCAGGCTTCGGCGTTCGTCGTCCCCGGAGTACTAGCTGCCACCGATCTATGTTTCGGTGTATGTCTAGTTTGTCCTGATTGTTTTCACCTATTTCCCATTATGTTATATTGTATTCCCTTTATAACCCCCTGTCTCTCATTGGTTATTGTGTGTGATTGTTTTCCGTGAGGTCGGCAGTCTCGGGTGTATGCGTATTTTGTTTCCTCCCTGTTTGGAGGTTTGTTTGTATTTATATTTACTGTGCTAGTAAAGTTTGTCTGCCAGTAGCTCGGTGTCCTGCGCTTGACTTCGCTCACCGCATACACGTCGCTCTGACATATACGCATATTCAATTCAGCAACATTAATCTACTGGGGACTAAAAAGAAGGCTTGCTCCCCTAATCTGGTACAGTTTCCCTTCAAAAAGATTAAAACTAATCTAATTTTGATCAGGATCATGATTTGATCTGAAAAACAAAATTAGCTTGATCAAGTAATTTCCCCTTCATATTCTCCCATGTGGACCAGCCTCCTAGCAAATCGAGTTCAACTAATGAGCTTCAGCTCCTCACCATTTGAGTGACAGTTCGCAAGAGGCATATCATGCACACACAGCAGAGTGAGAGAGGGAGCAATGACGTGGTGCACATATTTGCATATGTGACGTAGTACGCAATTTTCGGGGACCACTTTTGGCTCGTGAGCGCGTCTTTCAGAACTTCTTTTTTAAAAGTACCAGAGAATCTCTAATCATTAGTCAACTACTCTAACATGAATATAGCCTGAGACTTAAATGCAAAGAGATGTGATACAGTATGTAACTGATCATTCTTCTCTAAATGTTGAATGACAGGTCTGGCACTCTGGACTTAAACTCATGTTCTAAGGAGGGGAGATACTGAGCTGTTGGCGCACCAGTGATAGGAAACTAACGTTTTTCATTCAGACAGTGTTCGACAATACAGTCCAATGCTACCGTGTGCGTTGGGAAGAATTGGTTCCCAATCTGCCTGTGGAGCATGCCATGACCTACAACGTCTCGCATTGGTATGGTGGAGCCGAGACTGCCATACAGCATTGGCCTATCTCTATCTCCGGGCAGCAGGCACCCAAACCCTTTGTCACCAGTGATATCTACTCAAACCGAAATGGCTTTGGGGGTATCTTGGAGCGCTACTGGCTCTCGTCCAATGCCACGGCTATTAAGATCAAGGTCTCTGCCCTTTCATCTGGGCTGGAACGACACAGAGAAGACCATGTACTTCCAGGCGAGGTACCATGACACCCCCTACAAGCCAAACCCTGGTGAGGCACCTTGTGCTGAACTCAGCTACAGAGTCTGCATGGGCTTAGACATCACATCCATTCACAAGTACATGGTGTGCAGATACTTTCAAAAGCCCAACAAGGTGCCTTCCAAAGCCATGTTCCGCCATCCCATTTGGTCCACTTGGGCATTAAACAAGACTGACATAGACCAAGAGAAACTGTTGAAGTATGTGGCCAACATCCGCAAGCATAGGTTCAACTGTAGCCACCTGGAGCTAGACGACCGCTACACAAACCGCTATGGGGAATTTGAGTTTGACTCTGCCAAGTTTCCCAACGCTGCAGCTATGTTCCAGAAGCTCAAAGCAGGCTGCTTTCTGGTCACTCTCTGGACACACCCTTTTGTCAACTATGACTCTGAGAATTTCCACACCTGTGTGGAAAATGGGCTGTTTGTCCGCGAACCTACAGGTCGTCTTCTGGCTTTGGTAAGCTGGTGGAATGGCATCGGGGGCATTCTGGACTTCAACCAACCTAGAGGCCCATGATTGGTTCACCTCCCAGCTACGGTCCTTACGATCCAAGTACGGGGTGTCCTCCTTCAAGCTGGACGCGGGCGAGACAAACTACTTGCCCTGGCAGTTCAGCACAAAGACACCTCTTCGCGACCCTAGTACGTTCACCTGTCGCTACACCGAGATGGCTATTCCCTACAACAAGCGGGCCGAGCTGCGCTCCGGCTACCAGTCCCAGAACATCTCCTGCTTCTTCAGGCCCATTGACTGGGAGTACGATAGCGAGGTGATGGAGATTGCCCGGAAGTACACTGCGATCCATGAGAGTATAGTGGCCCCAAGGGTTCTGGAACTGGCTGGGGAGGTTCTGGACACAGGAGACCCCATCATACGACCCCTGTGGTGGATTGCCACCGGCGACGAGACTGCCTATAAGATTGACTCTCAGTTCCTAATAGGGGACGACCTCATGGTGGCTCCAGTGTTGGAGCCTGGAAAGCAGGAGAGGGACATCTATCTACCAGCTGGGCGCTGGCAGAGCTACAAGGGAGAACAGTTTGATATTAAGGAGCCTCTGCACCTTACGGACTATCCGGTAGATCTTGATGAAATTGTTTACTTTGTCTAGGTTTAGTGAAGAGGGTGCAAGGCTGAAATACTTTGGAGCTAGGCCTGCTTGAATTTGTTTATAGTATTTTCTCTAAAGTCAGGGCTCACACCTCATTTGTGTTCTTGTAAATTATTCACTATTAGTGAAGAATGAGCAAGGAGAAAGCTTTCCTGCATGCTCAAACATGTGCCTTTGCAATAAACCAGGAATGTAGATATGCCTATGCATTAACATTATGTGTCATGAGAGACATATGACCCAATAATGTATTCAGCATGACATAACAGATTCTCAACAATTTAACAGAATATTGATCTGCTGCCTTTTATACTTTTTTTAAGGAACTGTCCAGTGTTCCCAGATTTCTATGAAATATGACCTATAATTACTTACATTATGAGTGAAATAGTTTGGAAAAAAAAAAAAGTAATAAAGTATGTTAAAAAGCAGCTTTACTGTGTTGAAATGGTATGGGCGTACCCCAACAACAGAATGGTTTGGGCATATACCGGTCATTAAACATATTCATGCTAGTAGACCTCTGATAGGCCAGTTCATCCTCCTCTATACTGCTGATTGGTCAGCTCAACCTCCTACGGAGTATGACTTCATACTCTATGAGGAAATAGCAAGCATTTTTTAAAAGGTATGTTTGAGATGTTTTTTCTCTCCAATTTATGCTTTGGCAACAAATACAAGTATAGGACGAATCAACAACATTATTTGGGTATGAGTTCACAGAATATAACAGCTTTTCACTGGACAGTTACTTTAAGGGCTGATATTTGAATGCTTTTCATGTTTTATTTATTAATCAACACACACTAGTAAGGGAAGATTTATACTGTGACGTAAAATTGGCATGTAAAATGTTGGACTTATTTTTTTCAATGTGTCAATGCATTTAACAATACACTGTGTTATTGTTCAGCCAGTGGTTGTTATGTTAAGGTTCTCGACACTCTATTAACAAAAAGAAGCTGCACATGATATTTTTCACCTGAAGCTTTGCAGGAAGTTGGGTGTCGTATTCCCGGGTGTGTTGATATTTACATGGAAGTGGGTGATTAGGTTTGTATCCCAAATGGCACCCTATTCCCCATACAGTGCAATACTTTTGACCAAAGCCCTGGTCAAACGTAGTGCAATATATAGGGAATAGGGTGACATTTGAGATGCAGCCCTTGACATGGAAGTAGGTGATTAGGCATGTATTTTTGAGTGCTTAAAGCTTAATCACTATTCAGTCTTGTAAAGTTTTAAGTGACAAACTATCCATTTACTTTGGTGTCACTCTTGTAATATCATACCCTTAACTGTTGGCTAAATACGATGTCTTTATATTTCAGGCATCCTAGAAAGGTCTTGAAACACGAGGTATTCAATTAATGTTTGAGCAGGCAATAATGAAATAATCCAACATTTAAGATGCTATGAAGTCGGAGTGAACTAAACTGTGACATGCCACTGTGTTACAATACAGTGCCTTGCAAAAGTATTCATCCCCCTTGGCATTTTTCCTATTTTGTTGCATTACAACCTGTAATTTAAATGCATTTTTATTTAGATTTCATGTAATGGACATACACAAAATGATGCAACCAATTACCTTCAGAAGTCACATAATTAGTTAAATAAGGTCCACCTGTGTGCAATCTGAGTGTCACATGATCTGTCACATGATCTCAGTATATATACACCTGTTCTGAAAGGCCCCAGAGTCTGCAACACCACTAAGCAAGGGGCACCACTAAGCAAGCGGCACCATGAAGACCAAGGAGCTCTCCAAACAGGTCAGGGACAAAGTTGTGGAGAAGTACAGATCAGGGTTGGATTATAAAAAAATATCAGAAACTTTGAACATCCCACGGAGCACCATTAAATCAATTATTAAAAAATGGAAAGAATATGGCACCACAACAAACCTGCCAAGAGAGGGCCGCCCACCAAAACTCACGGACCAGGCAAGGAGGGCATTTATCAGAGCGGCAACAAAGACACCAAAGATAACCCTGAAGGAGCGGCAAAGCTCCACAGTGGAGATTGGAGTATGTGTCCATAGGACCACTTTAAGCCATACACTCCACAGAGCTGGGCTTTACGGAAGAGTGGCCAGAATAAAGCCATTGCTTAAAGAAAAAAATAAGCGTTTGGTGTTCACCAAAAGGCATGTGGGAGACTCCCCAAACATATGGAAGAAGGTACTCTGGTCAGATGAGACTAAAATTGAGCTTTTTGGCCATCAAGGAAAACGCTATGTCTGGCGCAAACCCAACACCTCTCATCACCCCGAGAACACCATCCCCACAGTGAAGCATGGTGGTGGCAGCATCATGCTGTGGAGATGTTTTTCATCGGCAGGGACTGGGAAACTGGTCAGAATTGAAGGAATGATGGATGGCGCTAAATACAGGGGGATTCTTGAGGGAAACCTGTTTCAGTCGTCCAGAGATTTGAGACTGGGACGGAGGTTCACCTTCCAGCAGGACAATGACCCTAAGCATACTGCTAAAGCAACACTTGAGTGGTTTAAGGGGAAACATTTAAATGTTTTGGAATGGTCTAGTCAAAGCCCAGACCTCAATCCAATTGAGAATCTGTGGTATGACTTAAAGATTGCTGTACACCAACGGAACCCATCCAACTTGAAGGAGCTGGAGCAGTTTTGCCTTGAAGAATGGGCAAAAATCCCAGTGCCAAGCTTATATAGACATACCCCAAGAGACTTGCAGCTGAAATAAAGTATTGACTTTGGGTGGTGGTGTGGGTGTGTGTGTGTGTGTGTGTGTGTGTGGGGGGGGGGGGTAAATAGTTATGCAAGCTCAAGTTTTCTGTTTCTTTTGTTTGTTTGTTTCACAAAAAAAAAAAAAGTGCATCTTCAAAGTGTTAGGCATGTTGTGTAAATCAAATGATACAACCCCCCCCAAAATCCATTTTAATTCCAGGTTGTAAGGCAACAAAATAGGACAAATGTGTATCTGTGATTCACAGTGGAGGCTGCTGAGGGGAGGACAGATCATAATAATTGCTGGAACGGAGCGAATGGAATGGCATCAAGCATATGGAAACCATGTGTTTGATGTATTTCATTCTATTCCGCTCCGGCCATTACCACGAGCCCGTCTTCCCCAATTAAGGTGCCACCAACCTCCTGTGGGGATTCGCCATGTTTAGACAGTCATTGTCTATTGATGTCTAGCAGTATTCTCTTACAAGAGTAGCATGTTTTTGGCTCGCATACAAAATCTCCTGTCATGGGTAAAGAAGTGTACTCTGAAATTCAAAGGAAAGTCTCTGTCAGCATCTTCATGTTTTTTGAATTAGTCAACTGCTCTAACACTAAATGCTTTCAGGAGAGCATGTAGTGAAATAGCAACATAGTTTGCAGGGAATGTCATTGCAGATGAAACCACTGATTTGGTTCGTTTTCAAATGAAGTACCTGGATGAGATTATTCTAGTGAATGGCATAATATACACAAGCACATATGCCAGAGGGTGGTAGATTTCTTGTGAGGGTGTGGGTCACCCACCATAGAGTCAAGCAGTCTGATTTACAGTATTTGATTGCATCACATTGTTCTTCTCCATGAGATGATGTGAACAGTGGGAACTATGGTAAAGGAAGTTTTATAACAATGTGAGTCTCAAAATAGTAAAACCAGAGTCAAGTTCTAAAGTATCAATGTATGTTTGGTCAGAGAAAGGTACTCTAAAAAAAGTTGCTATCTAGAACCTAAAAGGGTTCTTCAGCTGTCCCCATAGGATAACCCTTTGTAGAACCCTTTTGGGTTCCATGTAGAGCTCTTTCCACAGAGGGTTGTATATGGAACCCAAAAGGGTTCTACCTGGAATCATAAAGAGTCCTCCTATGGGGATAGCTGAAGAACCCTTTTGAAACCCTTTTTTCTAAGAGTGTAGACACTGATAGCTATGAATGTATGGGCGGCAGGTAGCTTAGTGGGTAAGAGCGTTGTGCCAGTAAGCGAAAGGTCGCTGGTTCTAATCCCAGAGCCGACTAGGTGAAAAATCTGTCGATGTGCCCTTGAGCAAGGCACTTAACCCTAATTGCTCCTGTAAGTCGCTCTGGATAAGAGCGTCTGCTAAATGACTAAAAATGTAAAAAAATGTATCACTCATGGCCACCAATAATTGATTGGGAAAGCTTCTCTACTTTCTTTATGATATTTTTTTGTTTGTTCTGACAGATTTGTGTGACACGCAAATCTTTTTCCTGAAGGAGGATAGATTTGGAGATGCCCTTTTTATATTCTCAGTATATGTCAATACATTTCATTGGGTTTTTTCTTAGCCAGAATCATGCATAACAACACTTTGAAATTGTTTCTTTCTACACACAACCACAAAAGGTTACTGTGTAATTAAATGTGGTTCAGACCTGAACTGTTTTTGCAATTCAAGAAAGCAAAATTATTGCTTTGTCAATTAATGTTATTTTTTTCATTTTTGTATTTTAGTATTTTTTTCATTATCCATTTTTTAAAATATATATTTGTTCATTTTTATTTATTTTTTATTAACCCATCCACCAGCTTTTCTGCTATATATACACATACATTTTACATACATGGCACTTTTATATAAAGCAGTCACATAACAATAATACATGATCAAACATAAGATCTTTAATCCCACCCCTCAGCCACACTCAGCCCATCCCACCGATCACCATAGACCACCCTCATTTGGTTTCCTTGTGTCATATATTTTTCAATTGTGATGTGATGTTTTACATACATTTTGAACCTTTCTAATCGTATAGTATCCACAGATTGTGAGCTAAAGATGAAAACCTTTCCTACGAGTATTATTATATTATTTATTGACTGACTATGGCTTTCCAAATCACCCAACACTGCTATTTGTAAGGTTAATTTTAAATGAATGTTGTGATTTCTTACCCATTCCTGAACCTGTGACCAGAAACAAGCTACATAGGGGTAATACCAGAATAAATGATCTAGTGATTCTGTCTCTTTGCAGCAAAATCTACAGAGC